GGTGCCATGTGGTAGTGGTTGAAGTGGAAGCTAGACAAGCGTAACACATTTGGATTAAAAGCTTTAACTCAAAAAGTTGAGAGCAAGAATGGAACTCCCATTGAAAGCATAAAGCAATCAATAAGCAAGCCTCTAGAAAAGGGAAACAAAAGGATCAACATATGACACGTGAAAGTGTCATAATTGAGTCTGAGATGGACCTGAGATGGAATTCGAGGAGTCCAAGATAGAGTCTGAATTGAAGTTTGAGATGGATGCAAGATGGAGTCCGAGAAAGAGTCCGAGATGGACCCAAGATGGAGCCTGAGATAGAGTTTGAGATGGACCCAAGATCAAGTCTAGGTGGAGTCTAAGAAGGAGTTTGAGATGGAGCCCAAAATGGAGCTTGAGACAGGGACCGGGACTGGGACCAAGATAGAGGCCAAGACCTAAACCGAGTCCAAGACTGAGTCCAAGACTTAGTCCAAGACCTAAGCGATTTGTTGGTCACTGCTGATCAAAGTGACCTTAGAAAGATGCTTTGAATGTGGAGTTGTCAGCCATATCTACCTCCAAGAGTGTCTCTACCCACGTTTCTGCTCGGCTAGTGAGCGATCGCAAGAAGTCACAAAGCTTGTGATCGTCCTCGATGATGCCATTTGACATGCAATATTGCTCGAAATGAGTGACATGTGTATTGGCAAAGATGTCGCCATTGCCAGATAAGTATGTCAAGTCGGTGCCTCGCTGTAGAATGTGGATTTATGTAGGAAGAGCCATGGATGGTGGACTCCCTGACTCGATATCTGTAATGAATGATGAATCCTTCTCATCAAAAAGAGTAATTTGATAATCGAGCTCTCATAGAAGGTGTGAAAAATGTCCCCATACCCTAGGCACTGTATGGAAGTTTGCTAGTTGCCATCTCTAACTGGAACGAGTGTGAACTAGCATAAAATGTCCACTATGCAGTAGATGCCAGGTTGTGGAAAATACAACACACAAAGAACTTTGACTTGTGTGAGAGCAAAGTATCTAAATGGGATAACTCCAAATAAAAGAGTATCCTCATGTAGATTTTCCCAAATAAAATCACTCTCACTCTTGCAAATGCCAATTTCTCACGACAAAAGAAAAAAATATTGCAAAGAAAAGGGGGAAAAAGAAAAAATTAAACTCCAATACTCAAAATGCCTAAGAGGAAAATATTTGCATGGAAATCTCTTGACTTTGCACACAAAAATGGGTGTGGATGGACTTGTTTAAAAGTTTATACTCAAACCAAAAGAATGAAACCAAAACCATGAGTTAAAATGCCTAAAATCTCAAAAAAAAATTGATTCAAACATTAAATTCTAGACAATAAGAAGGAAAACAAAAGAAAATGCACTCCCTAGTACAAGAAACACTCATTTTTAACATTGGTAAAAGGTAATAACATGGCCGTAATGATTTCCATGAGAATGACACCTCAAATTCCCTCAAGATTAAGCTAGAAACTTGCAAATTTGAGCTATGAAGCGCCGTGAGAGAAAAACTACTCCATGTCATAGCTTAAAGCGAATTGGTTACCAAGAAAGGACTCTCCAAAAAGTTTGTCTTTATATTTACATGTCCAGAAAAAACAATTCTTGAATCAGTCCCAAAATCACAAGCTTAGAGTGTTGAAAAATTTACCATGAAAAACAGAGGAGCGTGATGGACAAAATTTCATTAAATTAGCAATTGAATCCTCCACAAAACCAGGTGCTCTTTAGCTTGTTGGAAAGAGGATGCCAAGTCGCATCAACCCAAAGAAAGAAAAACCAGAATCAATATACTAATCATGAGAAATCACTAGAAAACCAAGTGGAAAGAGGTAATGTAGAAAATTAATGTAAGAACGAGAAAAATCTTTAAACTTACACTCTAAATTCATTGAAGTTGAAACCCCTAATGGTCCTAGGGTCTCTAAGAATATGAATCTAACCCCTAGAACTCAAGATTTCTCTCAATTTCCTAAAACAAACTCTCCATTCTTTCAAGAAAACTAAACTAGCTTATTCATGTTGAGTTCACCAAGTTTTAGGTCATCTTTCAGCCCTAACCACAGATCCATCCCTCACATACAAATTCACAAAACCGTAATTCCAAATTTAATTGCCAGAGGAAATAGGGAGGACCTTTGATATAGCCTTTGTGGAGTTTTACTATTTGGAATATTTTGAGAATCAAAATTTCCTCTCCCTATCTCTCAAAACACCCATAGGAGTGAGAGTAAGAGAATAGTAGTAAGACCGGGAGTAGGATTAAAAATGGAAGTAAAAATAGGAGCAAGGGTAGAAGTGGGAGTAAGAGTGGTCTCTCTGGCTATAACATGTGACATAAAGATAAGCAACAATAAGTTTGTGTTGCAACACTCGAAACAAGAAATGCACCCAAGTCTTGGGATTTAGAAGGTTTTGTGATTAAGCATCAACATGAGCACAAAATCATGAGAAATACAACCTAGCAGGAGCTAAATTAATATTTTAGATGGTCAATAATGCTTCCAAATACTATCTTTACTATACATTTAGAACCCCCCACAACCCCTCATCCCTCACCCTAGAAAAATGCATGCTTTTAGGCTTTCACCCCAATCTTAAGAACTAGTTTATGGGATTTGAAAATTTACTAGATATGGAATAGAACTAAATTGTGAATTGGGATGTAGGAACAACACCATGGGATTCATGACACTCTCTAGATTCCATAGATATGCATTTTAGACAAATGGTTGTCAAGAGTGTATAATAGAAGTATGTGATTTTTAAGTTTATGACTTTCTACTAGCCAATTCACCAAATTCACCTAGGTGTTAGGACCAAAGATTACAGCCCAAGGGATCAAAGAAAAGTTAGATTAACATTGCTGATTGAAATGTTTGGGACAGTAAGAAAATCAAAGCCCTTGTGTTTTTAATTGCTTCTTTGTTCTTCATACTTCAGCTATAGCTTTAAAGTTTTGCCTATAGACCTCATAACTAGAAGAGATCTTGTAGATGGTATGTGTTTAATATTTTATTTATTGCCATAAAGGATCAAAGGACAATAATAATATTGATGGGAGAGGGAGAGAAAATACAAAAGAAAGCCTTAGGAAAAGTAAAGAATAAGTGAGTGTTGTGATGGAAAATAATAAGTTTTAATCTTTAGGTAGCAGTGCTTCTTTGTACTCACTCATGTTGGTGTTGTTGGAGTTTTTGCTTCACATAAATATCCTATTTAAATACTATTATTTATTAAAGAATTAAAAAACTATATCTTTAATCTAATTTTAAATCCATTTTTATTTATTTAAAATATAAACTTTTTATTACTTTTATTGTAACAATTTCTATAAAGTTTTTAACATTAATTGGTATATTGAGAATTTTAAAATATCATTATTTTAATATTTTTTAGATAAAATATATATTATTATCAGGTAATACAATTGTAAAAAATTTAGTAGTTGTATACCAGTCTGGTGTTATACTTTAAGAATACCTTTATATTGTGTGTGTGTGTGTGTGTGTAACTAAATATATATTAAATTATAATATTTTCTCAAGAAACATAAAATAGTGAACCTAATAAAACTTTATTACCCATAAAAATTTGCTTTAAATATTAGCATTCTTGATTTCATAGATTTTAAGAACCCATAAAAATATAAACTTGCAACATAATAACTAAATAAAGGAAAATGTCAAAGGCCAAATGTAAAGAGTAAAACGAATCAATTAATAATCAAATTTCTACTTGGATTACAATTCTCAATTTAATCAGTATTTAGTAGGAACTTTTATTTATAATAACCAAACGAAGACAAGTGTTTCTACTTATCAATTTCCTATACAAGAGTATCTAAAAGAGTGCTTGTGTGTGGAGGCTGGTAAAATGTTGCAATGCTGATCTATCTATCAAACTGCAAGAAATTGCAGAGGTGAAGGGAAGTCTCTTGCCAATTGTTACAAGTGCGATGGCCGTTAGACTCTCGTTCACAATTTGAAGCTTTCTTTGATGCTCACGAACAGCAATCTTACAAGTTTGATTGGTGGCGACGTGCAGAAATTTAGTTTTTTTCCCATACAATGGTAACAACTTTGACTGAGCACGCTAGGGCTTGGCGGCGCGGCCGCTTGGCAAGGCATCCCCCGAAAAACTCGTGAACTTTACCATATAGGCCGAGTATTTGCAATCTGTAGACTTGTCTCTAACATCGTGGATCTTCTTGTACGTTTGCAAGGATTCCTGATCAGTTTGTCCCCGTAACTTGATTAGAAAATGGAAAAACAAATCCAGCTCAGGAAAATAAGATCTTACATAGTTTGCTCCAGAGGCATTACCATCACATGGCATGTAAATTTGAACCGACCCGACCAAATGAACGATCTTCAATCCACTGGTAGTTTAGCAACTCCACCTGTGAAATAAAAAGAACGAAACGAGAAAAAACAATGATGAGAGTCATACTATTAACAAGAACCTCCAGTGGTTCTGGGAAAAAGCAAAATCACATGAGACTAGAAGAATTCCAAAGCCTTTGAAGACGTGCACGTTGATAAAGGACGCTTTGCCTTAAATCTCCTGCTGGACTGTGGGGTAACGATGGTGATAGCGAAGGTGTTCAACTTTACGTTAGAGCAAGAACTCAGGAGCTAATATGTACGCACCTCCAGTTGTTCCATATGGTATAAAGCCATTTGACTTGGTCTAGAAGGTCATAAGCGGATGAAAAGGGAAAAGGCTTGCCCATCTTGTTGCTAGGATCAAAGTCGGATCTCGGACCTTTCAGAGATTCAAACATTATAAATTTGAACATTAAATCATCCTTTTTACAGCTAAATCAAAGAAAATGATATGAAAAAAACTATCACGAGTCTGAACTATTCCGCTGCTCACTGCTCTTTAGCTGCTTCCACTTTTCTTTTTGAAGCTGCTGCCCCTGCTTGGTTTAAGAAATTTTTCGTCTTTAAGCTGCTCAATCTTAGCTGTTTCGGCCTGCTCCCTTTCTCTCCAAGTTTTAAAATCATCTTACAGTTTTCCATTCCCACTTGCTCGATTCTTATGATCTCTGACGCTGGTTTTATCTTTCGCTGCTTCAAGTCCTGCTCCACCCTCATTTACATATTCTTCTGGCGGCCTCCTATGATCTGGACCAAGTTGGCAGTCAGACTATTTTCCAAATAGAAAAGAAACATAATCTCTCAAGGTTATTTACTCACAAGTTGGCCAGAATAAGCAGCTCCTTAGCGTAGTCTCTGAGATGTTTTATTTATTTAGTCTCGAAGAGACGGCCTCCAACGATCTGGACCAAGTTGGAGCTCAGAAGATATTCCACCAGAGGAGAAAATTAAAAAACAAAAAAAATACCATAGGATTTGTTGCTGATACTAAAGGAGCTACCATCACAATTTGTGTGTCGCTGCAGCTTGCTTCTTCTGTTTAACAACACGGATGAAATGAATGGAAGAGGAAAAAGCAAATGACTCTACGTACCCTCAGTCCACATTTCTCGATTGTAAAGGTGGCCATTGAACCTCTGAATCGCTTTGCACCAGCTTCCACGTTCCATGAAACTCGTCCGATCTTCTGTCTTTATGACTGTTGCTTCGTCTTAGAGTTCGCTCCAGCTCTTGTAGTCTCTGCATGTCAGGGGCGAACATCAGCCGTTTTTCAGTCTTTGTGAAGCCGAACCTCTGGCTCCGCTGCCACAAGCAATTTCTTCGAGTTTGAGATCATCTTGCCATCATCATCTTCTATCATCCAAGCACCTGTAAGAGTGATCCTGGACAGCATTGAAGCTCTCGTCCCGTTTCCGTCAACTAGAGAGCTTTGTCTTTGATCCGTCTTGGCATCTCATCTTCTCCTTCATCTCGCTGTTCTCACGCCAACGTTTGATGGACTCTTCTCCACTCGGCTGGCTGACTGCTCCGATCTCGGGCACCGTCTCAGCGAGCTCCGCTTGAGGAGCGCGCTAACACTCCAAGACTTTTCCTCGTGCTTCTCCTCTTCTGTTTCCTCGCGCTTTTCCTCTTCCAAGCTGCGGATCTTCTTCTCGGTTTTTCCCCTCTGGTTTAGCCACCGGTTTGCCTTGTGGAAAGCTTCGAGATACGCGAACTCAACATAGCCCCCTCGGCCATCGCTAAGATGGGTTTCACTCCGCCGTCGGGTGGCGTCGGGAAGAATGTCCTCCGCTGAGGAAGAGAAGCGAACCATCTTCGGCCTGGAACCTGCAAGTCCAGAAGGCCATCGTGAGTCACAGTAGAAGAAGAATGCGAGAAGCAAAAGGAACCATACCTGGACGACGACCCCCGGCTGGCAGTAGAATTGGCTTGGGTCGCTGCTCCTCCTGCTTGGGCTTGTCATTCTCCTGCTGCTTCATCTTCTCTTGATCGTCTTCCCGTTCCAGAGGCTGCTTGATCGGCTTGATCATCTGCTCCTCCTCTTGTTCCAGCTGCTGCTTGATCGGCTTGATCATCTGCTCCTCCTCTTGTTCCAGCTGCTGCTTCATCGGCTTCATCCGCTGCTCCTCCTCCTGTTCCTGCTCTTGCTTGATCGGCTTGATCGGCTTGATCGGCTGATTCGGCTGATTCTTCTCCTCTCGTTCCAGCTGCGGCTGCTCCTTGTGACCTTGCTCCTGTTTCACCTCGCGCCTGAGTTCCTTCGTCTCATGGGCTTCTTTCTCCTGCTCCTCCTCGCTCAGCTGCTCAGCTTTCTTCTCTTGCTCCTCCTCCTTCAGCTGCTTCTCGGCTTCCTTTTCCTCCTCTTCTTCCAGCTTCATCGGCTTCATCTGATCGGCTTCTTTCTCCTCCTCGTTCACCTGCTCGGCTTTCTTCTCTTCCTTCAGCTGCTCCGCTTTCTTCTCTTGATTCTCCTCTTCGTCCTCCTTCTCTTGTTCCGGCTTGATCGGCTTGATCGGCTCCTTGTGCCCTCGCTCCTGTCGTATCGCTTCTAAGACGATTTTCACCTCGTGCCTGAGTTCCTTCAACTTCAAGGCGGCGGCGTCCATGGCTTCTCCCGAGACGGCCTCACAGACACGATCTTGGACCTTCAGCTTCGAGGCCGCCGCGTCCATGGCTTCCGGGTGGACCTTGTTGTCGCCCTTGTGCGCCTTTTTTGGTCGAAAGAGAGACCACAAACCTGTGACGCATCCACTGCGCTCCTGCTCTGTTCGCGCCATAGCTTGCCCTTTGCAAAATGCCTTTAATGCCCTAACCCTTACTAAATCTATTTCACTTTAATGCGTTCGTTTACATTTCTCGGCAGTGACTTAGGCAGCGCCCTGGCTCTTGAAACTCAGACACGCTGGAACCAGCTCACAGGCTGCATCCCAGAAGATGTTTACACACTCTCATCTCTCAATATCTAGACTTGAGTCTGGAACAAGTCCCTGGAGCTGGTTTCTAATGCTTCCAGCTTGAGAGTGCTGATCAAACCAGCTACCAGATACCATCTGACCTCAGTAAACTTTCCAGAAGAAAACAAAGAAACGAGATGGTAGCTATAGTAAGTACAGTCTTTATGTGCTTTCTTTGTTGGTGAATGTTTAGATGCTTAACATGCAAACTTCCTGGCATGACAAAACTTCAAGAGCATTGAATTCACAAGGTAAGTGCTCTCTATCATTCTCCTTAAAGCTTATGCTTTACGTTATGCAGGAAAATGCAAGCTTATATTGAGCTTGGTCCCTCAATATTTGCTAGATGATAGCTTACTGTGTGTGCTACTTTTGCTATCATGCTCTTTGTATTAGTCTTATTTTATATCTACGGAATGTAGAGATTGTCTTGAACACAATGGTGTTCATCCCATGTCCAAATTCACAATCTAACACCATTCTATATTTAGTAAATTTCGAGTTTGTCCCAGAAACTAACTCCTGAGATTAAAGGAGGCTTAGGGTGAAAGCACAAAGAGTGTGTTCCTCAAGGGGGGAGAGGTTATGGGGGGTTCCAAATGTATAGTAGGGATAGTGGGTAGGTTGGGCATAGCCAACCAACTTGAGGCATAGTCTAATTCCTGCTTGCGTGCCTATCTTTGTTTTATGTCCGGCTTATGTCTAAGCCCAAGTTCCATACCATGTTAGTTGGTAGAGTACCCATATCCTCGCATTAGGCCACCAGTATGCTAAAATAACGCCAAACATCATTTGGCTCCATTTTGCATGTTGGTCCTGGAATAGGGATGTTGGTTGCTTTAGCACTATTCCAAGTCACATTGGCTTCTGTCCCTTCGCTCTTTAGGCTGTATGCTCAGAAGTTGCACCGTGGTCCGGTTCTATCACTCTTTGGCTCCACACTTAGGAGTTTGGCATTGTTCATTCGTTCAGTGGCCCAAGGCCCTGAACCTCTATGGCATGTGACATGTGGCATCTGTCACGTGGCACAAAGAGGGTTTAGGTTTCACTTCGTGGTGTTATCCTATGGTAAATCACCATAGGATAAAGTGTTAAAACTACGTGCATTACATTTGGTATTAGAGGATGAGTCTCAGTGAGTACTATCCAGAGTGGGTACACGTTTGGGTGCAAAGGCTTTGCAATTGTTCTTGGTATAAACTTGGTTACCTTGTTGTACCTTGTTGTACCTTATTATATGAGCTGGCTCTTGGGCTCATAAGATGGATTTGAGTTGTTCCGGTTGCATGAGTTTGAGCTTGGGCTCGTGAGTGAGGCACATTTGCAACTCAAGGTTTACACTTTGAGTTATCAAGATTAATGTTAGCTTATCGGTGGTTCCATGTACCATGAGTTTAAGCAAACCTTCTCTAGGTTTGTTATGAGTGGCAAATAGGTTGGTCTGTAGGTATTTAGCATGGCACTAATAGATCCTTTCTAGGCAAGACTACAAGTGGATCAATCAAGACTGTAGGGATTAGTCTATTGATTCAAGTAGTTATTGCTGTGCTCTCTCATAAATTTTTCTTGGATTGGACTGAAGAAAGTGCGAAAGCAAGCTTGAGGTGTAGTCAAAGATGAAACTGAAAAGAGAGTCCACAGGGACGAAGGATCAAGCACATAAATCATCTTCTCTTTTGGAGAGATGATTTGCAATAAGGTGTGACTCATTGCTTGTGTTCATGGTATGCAATCAAGAATCCCTATCTTGGTGCATATTGGAAATGATGGTCTTACAAATAGTGAGTTGTGGGATGGATAGCGGTGAAGCGTTATACCATTTTGTCTAAGTTTGCTATTGGCAGACTTGGGTTGCAATGCTCAATTCTTTTCTAGGGAACTTTACTATTGCTCCTTGAGTAGTTTGGTGTTAGATTAGTGTGAGTTG